CTTCCTGGGGCGCCTGGGTGGCGCAGTCGGTTAAGCGTCCGACTTCAGCCAGGTCACGATCTCGCGGTCCGTGAGTTCGAGCCCCGCGTCGGGCTCTGGGCTGATGGCTCAGAGCCTGGAGCCTGTTTCCGATTCTGTGTCTCCCTCTCTCTCTGCCCCTCCCCCGTTCATGCTCTGTCTCTCTCTGTCCCAAAAATAAATAAACGTTGAAAAAAAAAAAAATTAAAAAAAAAAAATTCTTCCTGATTTATCCACATGTTTCAGATGAATTAAGCACTTGTAGTTGGGTCATTAGACAGAAAGAACAAGACAGAACCAACCAACTGGGTTCAAATTTTGCTCTGTAATTTACTGTTACTGTTACTCATCTCTGTGAGTCTCAGGTTCTGTGTCATTGTTGTGAGGATTAAATGGGTCAGTATATATAAGATGCATCTCATAGCAGGTTTCCTGACACATGATGAACTTTACATAAATCATTAGAGCCGTTTCTTCATTTCCTTTATAGTTAGTGGAGTTAACTGTCGCAAATCTGAAAAATAATACAAAGAAACTTGGAAAATAAGTGTAGCATCTGACACATAAACGCATACTTTATTCATAGTGAATCATTTGGCTTTACTGGATAATTAATAGATTTAATTTAGTGTTCTGTATCACATAAATGGCATATTGTTGTCATTTGCAGTGAGTAAAGGGTGATTTCATTTCAAAGTGCCTTGCATTTTAGGGTATACTGGGGATGGACATTTTTCTTTGGAAGCATAAATGTTACGCTTAGAGGGAAACTTAGAGGTCATTAGTCTAGGAGTTCCCAGGTTGGTGAGACTCAGCATCACTAGGGTTGCACATCAAATCTGTATATCTAAGTCCTGCCCTCAGAGATGCTGATTAAATAGATTGGCATAAAATCTGGCCAAGTTTTAATAGCATGTAGATGAGTGAGTTTGATGTAGCATATGACCATCCCTTTTATAGGTCAGGAAACTATGGCCCAGCTCACACAATGTTAGAAAAAAAGACTTGGTGTAAAATGTTAATAGTTACATCTTTTTTGGATATTTATTCATGTATTAATTCAATAAGCTCATTACATGAGAATGAAATCCTTAATTGCACACAGCCCCCAATTTTTTAAATATAATTTATTGTCAAATTGGCTTACATACAACACCTAGTGCTCATCCCAATGAGTGCCCTTATCAATGCCCATCACCCACTTTCCCCTTTCCCCCACCCTCCCATCAACCCTCAGTTTGTTCTCTGTATTTAAGAGTCTCTTGTGGTTTGCCTCCCTCCCTCCCTATTTGTAACTACTTTCCCCCCTTTCCTTCCCCCATGGTTTTCTGTTAAGTTTCTCAAGATCCACATATGAGTGAAAACATATGATAACCTGTCTTTCTCTGACTGACTTATTTCACTTAGCATAATACCCTCCAGTTTCATCCATGTTGCTGCAAATGGCATGATTTCATTCTTTCTCGTTGCCAGGTAGTATTCCATTGTATATATAAACCACATCTTCTTTTTCCATTTGTCAGTTGATGGACATTTAGGCTCTTTCCATAATTTGGCTATTGTTGAAAGCACTGCTGTAAACTTTGGGGTACATGTGCCCCTATGAATCAGCACTCCTGTATCCCTTGGATAAATTCCTAGTAGTGCAATTGCTGGGTCTTAGGGTAGTTCTGTTTTTAATTTTTTGAGGAACGTCCACACTGTTTTCCAGAGTGGCACAGCCCCAAATTTTTAATGGGAGAGCTAAGATAAAAATCACAAAGTGATGTTTCAGAAAAGCTCTTGCAAGGAGTTAGAAGCAAGAATTGAATTCTACCTCTGCCATCTATTCTCTTACCCTGAGCAAGTCACAATCTCTTTGAGCTTCAGTTTGTCACTTGGAAAAAGAGATAATACTAGCCTTTCTGATCCTACAGGATAAATAAAAATACATGATACCTCTTGGAAAATGGTAGAGAGTTATATAATAAGGCATATAAAAAGTAGCTATGTGCTGGGCTGGGCTTTGAAGCTAATATGCTGGGCTTTGAAGCTTATTGATATGGTGCCTGCTCTTACAGCCTGCTAGAAGAGACAAACGTAAATATTGGTATAAAGTGAAAAATATGATTTTAGAGATAATGGACAAAGTACTTTGGAGCATAACTGGGGGGGTGCTTGGAGAGAATCTGGACAGCTTCTTAGAAAAGGTGACATTTGATCTGGGCCTTGAAGGGATAAAAAGCTTTCCTGGCAAAGAACAAAGTTACATGTACAGAAACATGAAGTCATAAAAGCATGGCGTGCTTAGAGAAGACAGGATGTCTTTCGTATTTGGACAGTGGGTGGCATTTGGGAAGACGAGGCTGAAAAAAATAGACTGGGCTGGACTCTGAAGGCCTCTGTGCCAGGAATTTGAATATTATCATACATGCAAAGGAGGTTTTGAGTGTGAATGGCTTGATCAGATAGAATTTTTAGACAGGTAATTATGGTTTTTTCTGGAGGAAGATTTGGAAGGAGAATGACTAGAAATTGTCATTATTATTGCTTCATTTTTTCAGCAAGTTTTATAATTTAACACATGATATGAACCCTAACGATACCAGCCTTCACCGTATCAGATATTTGGCATGTTTTTGCTCTTCTACACAGTGCTCTGTATGTAGGGTCTTTGCCTCTTTTAAATTATCTCCTAAGGATAAATCTCCAGTAGGGGCGCCTGAGTGGCTCAGTGGATTAAGTGTCTGACTTCACCTCAGGTCATGATCTCACGTTTGTGGGTTTGAGCCCCACGTCAGTCTCTGAGCCCTGTATCGGGCTCTGTGCTGACAGCTCAGAGCCTAGAGCCTATTTCGGATTCTGTGTTTCCCTCTCTCTCTGCCCTTCCCCCACTCCTGCTCTGTCTCAGTCTCTCTCTCTCTCTCTCTCTCTTTCTCTCTCTCTCTCTCTCTCAAAAATAAACATTAAAAATGATTTCTTTCTGAGGTACTTCGGTATAAAGCTATCATTTATTAAGAAGGAAATGTATTTCTTCTCTTTCTCACACATGTAAAGCTTGCTGAGTTTAAAAGCTCCCTATTTCTTCTCTCAAAATTTTGCAGTGGGAAGTGAGGGAAGCACAAGACTTCAAAAGGTACTACATGGCCTAGTCAAATGTGCAAGCCATGCATATTGGACCTCTTCACTGTTGCAGAGTCCAGTTTACCAGGCTGTGGTGTGCCTAAAAAATTTTAGCACCCCTCTTTTACTTAATTGGCTGGCTCACTTTAGTGGGTTAGAGAGGTTTGGCCACTTGCTCAATGTCACTACCATTTTGTATCAGTGGTAAGTGGCATATTTTATTTTGGTAGGTTTGAGGCAGGCAGACATTTTATTTGAAGCTGGATTTAATTAACTGTAAAATTGATCTGGTAAGTTTTGAGGAAGGGTTATTTTTAAACCCTATTTTTTGTATAAGTAATAAATGCAAAAAAAAAAAAAAAAGAAATGCATACAGTAAAGAAAATTCAAAGGAAGAAAGTCTGCCTTCCAACCCCAAGTCCTACCTTCCATATTTAAGCACTATTAAACAGTCTCTTGTGTAAACTTCCAGAAATGTACTGTGCGTATTAAATCCTATCTATACGAAATATATATCTGATTTATACTTTAAAGAAATAGAAATGGGATCTGTTATAATACTGTTCTATACCCAGCTTTTTTGACTTAATATTTTATAGACATTTTTCTACACCAGCACATATAGATGTACTTCATTCTTTTTAACAACATTTAAGATGTTCTAATTTTTTTGTGACCTCTAACAGTGCTGCAGTGAAAACCCATGTATATACGTGCATTTTGCATATTTCCTATCTATTGGCTAAATGCCAAGGGATAGAATTGTTGGGTCAAAAGGATAATGTCAAATTATTCTCCAAATTTGTTTGCTAATTTAAATACCAAGAATTTATGAAAAGTACCTATCACCCAGATTTTGAAAGAGTATTGGAGGACAATGAAATTAGGCTTGAATAAAGCTCCCAGACACACTACATGTGACTGCATTACAAAAGATACCCATGTTAATTAGACCTATTCATCTGGTTTGCACACATATTTTCTTATAATTGACCTAAAATGAAAGAAAATTGACCACCTTGGCAAAAAAAGATTAGGGCAGTCCTAGAGGAGGAAATGCTATCTTTGGAGAATTGGTTTAGAATTGGTCACAAAAAGCAAATTAAATACTTTATGTCATATGATTTTATAGTTGTAAACTTTAAGAAGCCATAAAAAACATAAGCGTTTATTTCCCTTTAGGCTTGAGCAAGGAATTTTCCTTCTATTCCTTGCAAATTAGGCCTTTTGTTAAATCTCCATGTCTCAGCCTCTTACTTCTTCCCAGCAGTGTCCTCTGCAGACCTGGTCCAGATTCAAGAAATGTGCCATCCAACACTAACGGTGCTGGCATGATTAGGATGGCTTTTTTTTTTTTTAATGTTTACTTATTTTTGAGAGAGAGAGAGAGAAAGACAGTGTGAGCAGACGAGGGGCAGAGAGAGAGGGAGACACAGAATCTGAAGCAGGCTCCAGGTTCTGAGCTGTCAGCACAGAGCCGGACATGGGGCTAGAACCCATGAATTGCGAGATCATGACCTGAGCTGAAGTCAGATGCTTAACCAACTGAACCACCCAGACAACCTTTTTTTTTTTTTTTTTAAAGTAGGCTTCACACCTAGTACAAAGCCCAGCTTTGGGCTTGAACTCACACCCCTGACAACAAGACCTGAGCTGAGATCAAGAGTTGGTAGCTTAACCAACTGAGCCACACTGGCGCCCCTAGAATGGCTTTTTGTTTGTCAGTGAGACTTTTGATGTCTTAAAAGTATGGAACTATCTTAACCAGATGTAATAAAAGGAATCATATGTTTGTTTTACTTTTACTGCCTGGTCATTTAATACTTAATATTTTGTTTTCCTGATAATTTTAATGAACACCTATATAATATATTCCACAGATTTCAATGGGACAGATGTTACAAGATTTTGGAAAATTTCTTGGGATGTTCCTTCTTGTTTTGTTTTCTTTCACAATTGGACTGACACAACTGTATGATAAAGGCTATACCCCAAAAGAACAGAAGGACTGTGTGGGCATCTTCTGTGAACAGCAAAGTAATGATACCTTCCATTCGTGAGTGTCTTTTTAAATTTTTAGTAAATATATTTCTCTCTATTGTATTATATATGAATTAGTACCTATAGAAATAGAACTTCAAATTTTCTTTAAGACATTCCTTTTTAATAAATACTTACTTTTTCATTAATCATGTTGTAGTTTTCTTTACATAAATAGAATCTTAAGCAATTAACAGGCCCACGATATTACATTGTTTCCCCTGCTGCTTGTCTTAACAGAGGAGTTCTTGGCATTTTGTACACTGTTAGGATTTGGGGCCGGACAGTTTTCTGTCAGTCCTGCGTATTGCAAGATGTCTCTGCTCTTCACATATTTTTTTATTAAAAATTTTTTTAACATTTATTTATTTTTGAGAGACAGAGCATGAGCAGGGGAGGGGCAAAGAGTGAGGGAAACACAGCATCTGCAGCAGGCTCCAGGCAATGAGCTGTCAGCACAGAGCCCAACTCAGGGCTCGAAATCCCAAATTGTGAGATCATGACCTTGAACCGAAGTTGGATGCTTAAACAACTGAGCCACCCAGGCACCCCAGACTTTTCAAAAATTAAATGTCAGCAACTGTCCATTATTGTTACAGGCAAAACCATCTCTCATATTTTCAACACTTCAGTAGGAGGTCAATAGAATTGAGAATCATTAGAGCTTCATAAACAATTTTTTTCTCTAATTTACTGTATCATAAGAACTTAACCAGTTGTGAGGCAGACAAAATACCTCCCCTCATTTTTAAGTAGCATAATGGAGAAGGGGTGTGGAATTAGGTATTTGTTGTGTTTGTTATGTACCAACTATTCTTTAGATACTTGGATGTCATCTTATTTAAGATTAAATGAATAATAAGTATTTAACACCTTCTATATAACAGACACTGTTGAAAGTACTGAGTGAATGAAGTACCAGTGAGCAAAACTGCCTCATAGAGTTTATATTACAGTGAGGTGATATAGTCAATAAAAAGAGAAATAAAATATATATTACACAATAAAAAGGACCAAAGAGACAAAGCTTGGCCAGGCTTCTCCCTATGTGTGAGAGGTTGCAATTTTAAATAGACTAGGGAAGGCCTCGCAAGAGATGACATTCAGGTAAAGATACTAAGTTGATGAAGGATCAAGCCATGAAGAAGATAGTTGGAGGAAGAGCATTCACCGATCCAAGGAATGGCAAAGGCAAATGCCCTGGGATGGGAGTGTGGCTGGCTGTTCAAGGAAAAACCAGGAGGCCACTGTGGATGGAATGTAGTGAATGAGGGCAAGTTGTAAGAGATGGGGTCCAAAAGGTAATGAGGATCATGTAGAATGTTGTTGATCTGTGATCTTTGTAAGGACTTTGGGCTATTGAGATTGAGAGCCATTTGAAGTTTTTAAGCAGAGGAGTGGCAACATCTAATTAGGCACAAACAGGGTCTTAGAGGCTGCTATGTTGATAATACAAAAGCAGTAGGAGGTTAAACAAAATAATTTATCCTTTTAAGTGTATTTCTTTGTTTAAGACATATGTAAACTGTTGGGTTCAGTCTCATTCATTTTAAAATGTATTCTTGGATTATCAATGTTTTACTTATGGAATGTTAATATGAATGAGTTCTTCATTTTTGCTAATTAAGTGCTTTAATTTTCTTTTAAACAGAAATGTAATTGTCTTTACAGGTTCATTGGCACTTGCTTTGCTTTGTTCTGGTATATTTTCTCCTTAGCACATGTGGCAATCTTTGTCACAAGATTTAGTTATGGAGAAGAATTGCAGTCCTTTGTTGGAGCTGTTATTGTTGGGACATACAATGTCGTGGTTGTGATCGTGCTTACCAAGCTGCTGGTGGCAATGCTTCATAAAAGCTTTCAGTTGATAGCAGTAAGTATTCATTCTTGTAAAAACTTTATATTCTTTCAGATCATAACAAATGTATGTAGTAGATAAGGCAGCCAAAGATTATAAGAATTAAGGATTAGTATTATTTTAAAATTAAATACAGATTAAAAAAAACTTTTTAACGTTTTTATTTATTTTTGAGAGAGAGAGAGAGAGCGCGCACAAGTGAGGGAAGGTCAGAGAGAGAGGGAGAAACAGAATCTGAAGCAGGCTCCAAGCTCTGAGTTGTCAGCACAGAGCCTGACACAGGGCTCGAACTCCTGAATCGCGAGATCATGACCTGAGCTGAAGTTGGATGCTTAACCAACTGAGCCACTCAGGCGCCCCTAAATATAGATTTTTTAAATGTAAGTAATGTATATTAACTACAACTCTTGAACCAAATTTTTACCTACAAGCTGTGTAAACATTTGGACATCAAACATTTGGACCATGTAAAATGATATCCCCCCCCCTCCACATCTCTCTCTCCTTTGCCCTTCCCTCCCCCGTGTGTGTGTGTGTGTGTTCACATTCTGTGTTGCTTTTTCATTTGGCTCTTACAGAATCATGAAGACAAGGAATGGAAGTTTGCTCGAGCAAAGTTGTGGCTTAGCTACTTTGATGACAAATGTACATTACCCCCACCTTTCAATATTATTCCTTCACCAAAGACTATTTGCTATATGATTAGTAGCCTCAGTAAGTGGATTTGCTCTCATACATCAAAAGGCAAGGTTAAACGGCAAAACAGTTTAAAGGTAAGATATTAAAATTGCAACTTGGAAATTTTAACAATTCCTAATCACTGATGTTTCCTAGAGTGTAAATATGCAGGCTCCTTAAGGCCTGGGACTGTCTGATTTTTTTTTTTTACTCATATATCCCTAATGCATGGCATAGTATCTAACATAAAGTAAGGATTCAATATGTGAGAGATAGAGCTATGATTTTTTTTTTTTTTTTTTTTTTATGAAATCTTGTCTCAAGTTTTAAAACATGGGAAATATTTAGAATGCCAATTCTGTCAGCATAGATAAAGATTGACTACTGGAGCCATCTCATTTTTCTAGTTTTTCTTGAAAGTTATTCATTACATGAATAATTCAGTTCATGTTGCTATAAACCAGAGGTTGGCAAACTTTTCTTTAAAGGGCCTATTAGTAAATCTTTTGGACTTAGCAGACTGAGACAAAATCAAAAATACTTTATGACTATAATAAGTAATATAACAAGAAAGAACACAAATTTCCACAAAACTTTATTGGTGAAATTTAAAATGTAACATTAATTGAGTAATAATTTAATAATTTTTTGTAATACAGATCTAATGAAAAGAATGGAATTCCATTTTGGGGGGGAATAACATTTTGTTTAATTGGGTCTCAAAATCAGTATTCCCTATCATCAAATTAATTATAAATATTCATCTGTAAAACACCACTCTTGGCTCACAGGCCATTAAAAAATAGGAAACAGGACGTACTTGTCCTGTGGGTTGTAGTTTGCTAATCCTTCCTATAAATTGAGGATTCCTAAGAATATTTTTAAATCCAGAGAAGCATATAGGTGAATGAATAAAACAAATAGGCAGGCTGTATCTGTTTTAAACAAGTGATGAATATTATTTTGTAACATATAGTCCCAAAAATATAGCCCAATAAAACATGTGTTTGTATCTGTGAAAAATCTTAAAAATTCACCTCATTTAAATATTGTTTATAAAATTGTATCATATAATTGTTTGTTTTGAAGGAATGGAGAAATTTGAAACAAAAGAGAGATGAAAACTACCAAAAAGTGATGTGCTGCCTAGTGCATCGTTACTTGACATCCATGAGACAGAAGATGCAAAGTACAGATCAGGCAACCGTGGAAAATCTAAATGAACTACGCCAAGATCTTTCAAAATTCCGAAATGAAATAAGGGATTTACTTGGCTTTCGGACTTCTAAATATGCTATGTTTTACCCAAGAAATTAACCATTTTCTAAACCATGTAGAGAATAATTTTCAGTAATAAATCTGAAAGATTGGATTTGCATAATTTGCAATTAAATCAGTAAGATGTATATTGAATTAAAATGAAGAATTATGTAAAAGCCATTCTTTAAAATATTTATAGCATAAATATATTATGTAAAATATGTATATAGGATTAGTTTTTTAAACCCTCTATTAGTAGCTTTTTTGCAGGTGCAAAACAGATTAAGTAGATAGATTTTGTTAGCATGCTGCTTGGTTTTCTTACTTGAACAGTGCTTTAAGTTTTTTTCTTTTTATGTTTAAGAAGGGCAGTTATAATTGTGCACATTGCCAGAAGGTTTTGTAAAGTGAAGATCAGCAAATGTGGGCTGGTCTCCATCCATAGGATACACTTGAAATATAGTTAAGTCATGGTTTTTAAAATCTCTGTTTTAGGAGTTCACATTAGTTCAGTATTTATTGTTTAGGAGTATAGTTTAATCTAAAATAATAGTCTATTTTTTTTTATTTTGTTATAATCTTAAGTAACAAAGAAAAACCTCTAATGGATATTTGAATCTGTTTATGTCTCTATAAATTTTAAGTCACTTCACAGTTTTTGTTATTGTAATATATTTACTTTTACATGGTTGTATTCACTTTATATTTTTTGGTTTTTTTCACTTAATAGTATTTTATATATACATTTCCATGTATTGGTATAGTCTATATATTTAAATTTTTATGGAATTATATAGTTTTTGAAAGATATAGTCAGTAGACTTTTCATTTTATAGAAATAGAGTATTTGAGTATGTTTATAGGTTTGCACAGGTATTTCACTAAGGTTAGGCATTTGGTGGCTTTTAATTTTTCTTTATCATAATAGTGCTACAGTCTTTTTCATTTTTCAGTTTGGAGTGACTGTTCATAGTTATAAAGCTAACCCAAAATAAGGATTTAGAAGATACTTTATCATATGTGGTCACAGCGTGTTTTGTTTTTGTAAATTGGAAGACCCTTTAATGCGAGGATTTATTTATATTTGGACTAAGGTTCTTGAACTAATCTCCCAAAGTATTTTCCACAGAATTTACATAGCTTCTATAAAAGTGACTTCTTGCTTATTTGTGGATCACTCTTACTGCTTAAGATAAAAAGCCTTGATTTTCTTAAATTGGAGAATAAGAAATGTAGTAAAAATTTTTTTCCTGCGTTCATGTGAGGGATGTAATTAAAAAAGTTTCACAGGCTATTGCTTGTATTTTCTTGCAGCATTTCCAGTTAAGAGGTTATTAGGTATATAATTATCTTCTTAACTGAATTTCAGATGGTGTTAAGGCCACAGGGTGCAGGTAACCCTAGGTCTGTAAGCCCCACTGGTCCGGGGGGGTCATTGTCTAAATATATTAGTATTATGCTTCATCTTGCTTTTTACTTTTTATTTTTTAATTTCCAAGTTGTAAGTGTTCCCTCTTTGGGGCAAATTCTTATAAAAATGTTTATTGTAAAGTTATATATTTTGTCTACAATGGGATTATGCACTTCCCAGTTGGGATTTTACATCAGGATTTTTAGTCATTCTAAAAAATACCTAATTATTAAATCAAAATATTTATAGAGTGCCTACTGTATGCATGAATTACTTATAAGGTATATTTTGGATGACAGCATATTGTAAGAAAAAAGGTAAATAAAACTTGACATTAGATTATAAGTTGGTGGGATCTGTTTATTGTATTATCATATACTTTTATACTTTTGTGTTGAAATATAATTCACATGGCATAAAATTCACTCTTTGAAAGTGTACAATTCAGTGTATTTTTTTTTTTTTTAAATCATGGTTAGAAAGATCTAAAATGTAAAACATCAACATCGGACCCCTCTGTGCCCCTTTCCACCTCCAGTGGCAAACATATTGAACTCTTTTAGCTATTTCTTGTATTTATAAATACCATGTTTTGAAATAATATGTTCACACAAAGACCTGTGTCTGTGAACATTTATAGCAACTTTATTCATGATCCCAAACTAGATCGCTGAAAACAGCCAAATGTCCATCAGCTGGTGAATGGATAAACAAGGTGTACATCCGTATGGTAGGTATTTATTTACTCGGTTATACAAAAGAATTGTATCAGAGTTCAGTCAGAGAAGCAGAACTACTAGGATATTTGCAGGCATACATGTATACATGTTTGTATAGTGATTTGTTTACAGGGATTTGCTGTTACACGTTGGAGTTTGTTAAGCAGTCTCTGTGAGTCTATTGTTTGCATCTAATGCTAGAGTTAAAGTTCACATGGTAGGCAGTTGACACTGAGACCTGTGTCACTTCTTACTGTCTCCAACTTTGACGATGTGTGTATCCTGTGTGAAAAGTTGCCTTTTGCCAGGTTGCTAAACACACACCTGGCCCAGGAGTCCAAGAAGCTGAAGGAGGATCCAAGGAAAGGTGAAACAATGTAGGTCAGACTGTTGTCCCACCCCAAAAGTTGAGCCAGCAGGTAAGTTACCCCATGTTCAAGCTACAAAAGTACCTGCATAAGAAATGAGATCACTGCCTCTTCACTTCTGCCCTTCAAATTTCACTTTAAAATGTGTCTTGTGGGGCACCTGGATGACTCAGTTGGTTAAGCCTCTGACTCTTGATTTTGGCTCAGGTCATTATTTCACAGTTTGTGAAATTGAGCCCTGTGTTGGGCTCTGTGCTGACAGCACAGAGCCTGCTTGGAATTTTCCTCTGTTCTCTCCCCTCTCCTCCCTCTCCTCCTCTCCTCTTCTCTCCACCCCCCCCCCTTCTCTACTCCCTCCCCCCCCCCAAATAAACTTAAAACAAAAACAAACAGTGTGCCTTGGGGAGCCAATTCTATGGTACAAGAAAGAAAGTAAAAATTTGGAAACATAAATTGCCCAGTCAGTTAATACTGGCTACAGGGACAACCAATGACGCATATGTAACATAATGCCTTTTTTTTTTTTTTAATGGTTGTTTATTTTTGAGAAAGAGACACACACAGCATGGAGGAGCAGAGTGAGGGGAGACACAGAACTAGCAGGTCCAGGCTCTGAGCTGTTAGCACAGAGCCTGACATGGGGCTCAAACTCAAGAACTGAGATCATGGCCTGAGCCAAAGTCAGGCGCTTAACCGACAAAGCCACCCAAGCCCCCCCATAGATGAGTCTTAGAAGTATTATGCTAAGTGATGAAAAGGCTACATACAGTATGATTCCATTTACATGACATTCTAGAAAAAAAAAAAGCTATGGAAACCCAAATCAGACCATTGGTTATTAATTTCTAGTGGGAGAAGCCTGATTGCATAATCAAACGGTACACTTAAAAAGGGTGAATTTTAATGAATACAAATTATGCTTCATTAACCTGAAAAAAATACATAAGCCTACAACTTACTAAAAGAAAAAAATAACAGTAGACCTAAATCGTTATTAGTCCAAAGAAAACAGTGCTTATGCAAGTTAGTAGCCCATCATTAACACAGTGGGGTGAAATATAGTAATAAATGCCAAGGTAAATTATTTTGTACTATTTTTTCAAAATAATTTTGGTTATTCTAGCTTTCTTCCTCTGTCATATAAATTTTGGAATTGGTCTATCAATTTCTACCAAAAAAGGTGGCTTTTATTAGAATTGCATTAACCTTGAAATTTTTGTTTTCCTCCGAAAATACATTTATAAAATCCAAATAGGCTGAGATTATAGGTCATGAGGAGTAAACCAATTGGGCCTAATTATTCAGAATTACATTAAGAAAATATTAATGGTGGGGTGCCTGACTGGCTCAGTTAGTGAAGGGTCCGACTCTTGATTTTGGCTCAGGTCATGATCTCATGACTTGTGAGATCAAGCCCCGCATCGGGCTCTTTGCTGATAGCAGGGAGCCTGCTTGGGATTCTCTCTCCCTCTATCTCTGCGCTTCCCCTGATCATGCACACACCTACTCTTTCTCAAAATAAACAAAAAAACTTTCAGCCACATAAATGACAGGTAAGCTCCGTTTTCTTCATCCTGCATTCTAGGGTGTATCTGTCTGTCTCTTCATTAGAAGAGATATTTAATCCATCCTTCAATTTTAGGCAAATTATTCTTGTTGAAAGATATTAAAATTATCAAGTGCTATGTGAAAAGAATTTTAAGGAGCTGCCTCAGTAGCTCATCCAGAAATTTAATTAATTTTGTGAGGTTATTTTAATATTCTAAATTTTAAATATTTTAAACTCCTCCCCTCCCCTTAATATTTCAGTGGAAATAGCAAACAGTCACTGTATTTTCTATATGGTCATTTTAATACAGAGGATTTCCTTTTTCTAAGTTATAAAACTAGACAGAAGCAGCTCTCGTATTCTCTATATCCTCAGCTTAAGTACATTGTTGATGGTGAATGGCGCAAATTTGTTGAATGAAAATTTAGCTGTATCTGCTTGTGTAATATCCTAGACACTTACCTAACAGTTGTGTGTTCTAGAACTTATTTCAGCAAATTGGGTTGGAAGAAGACTTAGATCACCTACTTCAATCTTCTCATTTTATAGGTGAGAAAATCGCCATTTTAAGTAATTTGTCTAAGACTGATTCATGACTGACCTGAGATCCTGAGCTCAATTTATTGTTTGTGTAAGATACATCCCAAAGCTTTACTTTTTTTATTTATTTCTCATTGTAAGTTCATCTTGGTCACAGAGTGGAATTTAAGATGTCTTAAAAGGCCTTGCTTTTCTAAATGAATAGTTTATTAAAGACTTAATTTATGACCAAGGACAGAAACAGACCAATGAGATGAGGAAGAATTAGGAGGGAAAAGAAGGACTGTGAGGTAGTAAGCATATATAAAAAATCAGGAGGGGTGCCTGGGTGGCGCGGTCGGTTAAGCGTCCGACTTCAGCCAGGTCACGATCTCGCGGTCCGTGAGTTCGAGCCCCGCGTCAGGCTCTGGGCTGATGGCTCGGAGCCTGGAGCCTGTTTCTGATTCTGTGGGTCTCCCTCTCTCTCTGCC